GAGATCAAACTGTTGTTTATTCGATTCAATTAAACAGCGGAAACAACGGATCCACCTCCACCCTGAAAACATCTTCGCCGTTCTCGGTCCCATCCCCTTTCAGCGTAAAACACCCCATTTGAATGCATGGCAGTCCGTCAATCGCCCTATACCATCCGCCCTTCCCTTTTCGATCGTAAATCGTCATAAAACCGTCACACTTTGACAACCGCCCCTGGCTGCTGGGTAATTAACTCTAGACGAATTTACGAGTAGATCGTCGCAAGCATCTAGATGGCACTGTTTCGACACAACGTTTATTCGTTTATTCTTCTTTCGCGCTTCGGTTGTTTTGTGTTTCTTTGTCTTCGCTGGAAACGTACAGTACCATTCAAGCAAAGCAAATATAGAAAAAAAATGGTAATACTTCTAGAGCAGGAAAGTATTTTATACGGATTGTATTCCCTATAAAGAGTAATCTTTTGTTATATTATAAATAAGCCCCATCCTTTTTGTTTTTTCTTCTGCGTATTCGACGACGATTTCAGGCTGTACTCAAGCTTCGGATGGATCTAGAATACCGTAATAACATTTGAGGTTCAATTTTCTAGAAAATATTATATATTCTAAAGGCCAAATATATCGAACATTCTAGACATAAATAAAACAGATAACTAACTGACAAAATACTTGACCTGCAGCATGACAACCAACTGAAAACATATTTAGGGCCAATTTCACCACCATTAATATTTGACGGTCAGTTGAATCAATGGGAAAGGACCTTATCGAAATGTAATTTGACGGACGCTGTCAAAGCTCTCTGAATATCAGTGATTTCTATTGAAACATTGAATGAAATTGTGAAAAAGCGATTGTAATATAAACAAGAACACTTTTTGATTCCAAAATGATGCTTTTGTACGGAGAAAACAGGGCAACTTTCATGTATTTTGATTTTTCTTATAAATTTACATTTGACAATCCGTTATCCCTTAGCCAATGTGAATGCGGGAAATAATAGGTCGATTTTCTAGCTGTTAAATTTAACAGCAGGTTTGGAGATTTGTTAATGCATGGCAATCTCGAATTTGTTGAGTTCAATATATGTCATTATTATAGCTACATACCTGTTAAATAGTGCGGATTTGTCTGTATTGTGCAAGAAAATATGTAGAATATAAAATACATTCCAACCAATTGCTCATCTTTCTTTACTTCATAATAGTAATCATTTATTAATTATTGGTTAAAGAATTTGTTCAAAGCAATAAAAAGATTATGACCTCTCCATCCTAAAACAGATATGTTTAAGACGTGTCAATACCTACATATCCGTAATGCATAATGCAATTACTATGGACATAGACAAAAAAAATATGAAAAATTTCTCACAAATAATGTCTTCTAACTCCAAAAATCATTAACAGTAATAATGTTAATTTCTTGTTTGGTTGAATTTTTGCCTGGCGGGGATATCTATCTGTCACTCGCAAGGTTGCCAAGTGTAACGACAATCACGTCCGTGGGGGAGGGTCCGAAATGAATCTTTTACATTTGCCGGTTTCGAATTTAAAGTAGGAACACAAACATAGTACTTATGATAGTTGGAGCTAGACTGATATCACTTCTTGAAGGATATTTGAAAAGTGTGAACACCATCATGGTCTGTTGTATCTTCAAATTGCAAAATGAAGTATCTGAAAATTCTTACTGTCCTGATTATGATCATCTTTGGCAGACGTGTTGTATCATCAAATTGATGAACAAATATAAGGAAGCTGTGATATACCTACGTATAGCGGATTTTTCATGAAAATTTACTAGGTTTCATGATTATAACCATCTTTGGTAGATTGTTCGATCCGGAATGGGAAAGATCTCCTATTAATGAAAATATTTTTGGTATCATCTAACCGTTGCAATCAGTGCACAAAACTGTGACACATGATTTATAGAATAATCCGCTGCCCTAACAACACAAATTTAACATACAGGTCGCCTATCAGCTGTGGCACGCTGCCCTCTTATGCAAACTTCCATCCATGACCTCCCAGAAAAGCTTTGCAGATGGGTGGCTGACTTTCTCTTTGGCCGCAAGGTATCCGTCGTAATTGACGGGATCTCCTCTACATCCCGCAAGGCCAACGCGGGTGTTCCCAAGGGATTCGCCTTGGTTCCGTCACGGTACTTCTTACATATCAACGACCTCCTTTTCTTCACGATCAACCCAATCCACAGCTTCGCTGAGGACAGCACTCTACATGCAGGAATTCAGAGTGACAAGCCGATCTCTGCAGTTGAGCTGGAAAAAAGAAGATTAGCGACGAATGTCTCTCTAACAAGAGACCTAGAGGTTATCACTGCTTGGGGACGCAACAATTTTGTACAGTGTAATGGTTCCAAAACACAGTACTGTACCTTGACGAACAAAAAGCGTCCTGGCGCTCATACGGTTCCGATGAATGGCCGGGTTCTGCCAAAGAGCCGTTCATTTCGGCTATTAGTTTAGGGCTAAGAAGTTCTTCCGCATGATCTCCTCACTCTATACAAGGCCCAGAAAAGGCCTAGCCTCGAGTATTGCTCACACGTTTGGGGTGCTGCTGCCCAGACTATATTATTTATGCTTGATGCTGTCCAAAGAAGGGCTGCCCGACTGATCGATGACTCTTCTCTAACAAACAGTCTCGGTAATCTTTCACACCGGCGGGCCGTCGGCGATCAAGTTCTCTTCTACCGCAATACCAACGGGCTTTGCTCCTCAGAGTTATCTTCCATGATGCCGCCGCGCGATGTGCCTGCCATACAGACCCTGCTGCTTCGGTACAAAAAAATGACTACAGAGGATGCTTCCAACTTCCATTGTATGTTGGCTGGGGGGTTTCTCTGTACAAAAGCATCATATTCCTCATATATTTTCTAAATATTTGGAAAAAAATATCGCAGAAATATATGAATTATACATACTATAAATATCTATAATGAATATTTTATAAATATAGGTGTATAACAAATATATCATTAAATTTTAAAAAATCTGTCGCTACAAATATTTAACAAACATTTTTTATAAATATTCAATGCTATCGGGGTATTATTCTTAGACCTATCTTTCCTAGCCTACCTTGAACAGGGTAATTCGACATACTGCTTTTATTGAGATGAAGTGAATGAAGTGAACTACACCATATACAAGTATACTCCAAGCAAATTGAGCCAACTACATGCTACATCGAAATCATGATGAAATAGGGTGATTCAAATGAAGTAAAAATGCAACAGATAACTGCCAGAGATTACTTAAATAATTGTTTTTCAAAGAAGGACAAAATTACTTTCTCTCTCAGGTCTCTCTCAAAGTTTGTCTTATACAAAGTGTGTATGCTGAGATCAGACCCATATCAATCAGTAGGTCCTATCGCGGAAGAGCCGGCTACACTAAGGGGCTTTGCTCCTCAGAGCTCTCTTCCATCATGCCGCCACGCGATGTGCCTACCAGACAGACCCACTTGACTTTGGCGTCCCATCCCCACCGTATCGAACTTCTTACATCCTGAACTGGCCGATACGACCGCCCCTTTGTCCCGAGGGTGTCGAGATTGTGGAACAATTTACAAGAGGAAGCTTTCCCAGTTATATTAACCTTAGGCAGTTCAAAAATCGTAACAACAAAATTTCTTTAGGATCATCATAGCAGCCGCGGTGTTCCGGCATTTTGGCTTCTGCGCGGCTGCTTCGATATAAAAAAAATCACATTTGGTGATCAATCAAAGAGTGAATCGAATCTTTCTTAAGTAATGATCCATCTACCAACATCACTGATAATTTGTCATGTTGACATTTTCATGGTTTGGCATCAGAGATAAACCCTTCTAGAGATGGGAAACTCCAATACTAAAATAAGTTACCGTATTTCTGCGACCTCTGGTGGATTGGCCGCACACCAGTGCTGAATAATGGGCCTTTCCATCTTAATAGGACAAACCTAATGGGGCTTTTTACATTCTGTTAATAATAAATCGTCTTACGTAACAAAAACACCCCAAATGGGTTAATTTCCACTTTCTTAGTCATTAATACATGACGCGCATTTCGACACACAGTGTCTTTCTCCAATGCTGGGATGAGTCGCGCGTCACGTATTAATGACTAATATAGCAGAAATTAAACCATTCGGAGTGTTTTTATTACGTAAAATGGCTTGTGGAAAATCTTTCCAGGGGATGCGAAGGGAGGAATTAAAATTCAAGAAATAATTATAGTCATTTTATGGTCAATCATTCATATACAAATTATATCACCTTTTCTCACAAAGCTAAATATAATAATAATAATGTCTTTAGAAATCCATCCACACTGCGAGGCAATGTTTATCCAGCTGGCTACTCTACCACTTAACCTCACAGCACATACAAAAAAAAGATATAACAATGAATAGCAATCGACTAACTAATATATACAATAATTAAGGCTTAAATAGAGTAATCTTAAGATGTTATACATCAATACTACATGGCCCGCTCTAACAAAAAAAAAGAAATATATCAGTTAGCTTGGCTAGCAGACCCCAGACGATGGTTCTTAATGGCTCTCTTGAATGCAAGTATTCCCTTCTTTTTGCAATTGTTATTAAGACTATTATACACCTTGACAGCATTGTAGGTGAAACTACGATAGAAAATGCTCATATAACTAGGTATATTGAAGTCGGAGTTATGTCTGAGATTCCTGTAATTGAGATCCCCACGTGGTAGTAGCCTTTTTAGTAGATAAGCAGGTAGCCTATTGATTTTGATTCGTTGTACTAATATTAGTAAATGATATGTGAAAAGCTGGTCAACCCTCAACCATCTAAGCTCATTGATCTTCTTAGACACATGGCTAAACTTTCGCAGACCACAAACGAACCTACAACAACGATTTTGAAGTTTTTGTACTCGATATCTAGTCACGTAATCAAGACAAGGAAAGTAAACAGCAATTGAATAATTTATTAACGATAGCACCAGAGTCTCAGCCAGTTTTTTGCGAGTCTTGAAATTCAGAATATGGCGATTGTTGTATATCTTCAAACGCATGTATGTTAAGCGAGATAAATGCGTAACATGTTAAACCTCAAATCCATGATCATCCCTAAATTCTTCGCATGGTCTACTATAGGAGTATGGGTGTCGTTAAGACTAGGAACAATTCGGCCATCTAACCATTGTACTAACAGTTTTGGGCCAAATAGCATGGTAGAACATTTTGAAGCATTGATCTTCAGACAATGTCTTTTACAGTACTCTTCAATGTTAACTAGACCTAAGTTCAATTTATATGATGCTGAGGAGTATAAGGATATGTGCAATTACTCAAATATTTGACATGCAATAGTGGAGATCTTACATTCGAGATGAAGAGTGCACTAAACACTCGACTCCTGACAGATTTCACAATTTTCTTTTCACTATAAACTGCAGGAAAACCTACGATTTAAGGAGCGATGTTACTACGTTTCGAACCTCCTATCAAATATCTATATCCTACATCTAAATGTAACAATATAAAAATTATATGGCACTTAAATATACTGGTTGTCCATTATAATCTACTTTCTGTACCTCCTATTCTTAAGGTAGATTTCTTTGGCCTGTTTAATGACCGGATCATTATTCAGTGGCCGTAGATCTCTACCACTCAGCGCTCTATTTATGCCTACTGTCCAGTTATGGCCCAGAAAAAATGTGAACTTTTCTATCAATTTGGAATTTAATGACTCTTTATGGTTAGGGCAGCTGAGTGGTAAACTGATCTTTGATTTTATGAAATTTACCAACAGTCCAACTGAATTTGCCTTATATGCTAACTGTGGCACCATATGCATAGTAATATTGTATAATTCAGCAAATTTTTGTATTATTCTCAAATGACAATATTTTAATTTTGCAGGCATGGTTTTCAAGTATTCTTTTTCAGCTATAAGAGCATGCCACTCATCCACAGGATTTTCTGAAAATATATCTCTTATACAAACTTCACATGAAGAAATATCTTTTTTTACATATTTGGTGATGAAACCACTTACATATCCTAAACTAACTTTACTTATGTACTGCAGTGCAAAGTTTGGTATTTCTGATGGAAATGAACAAAAATCTGTTCTTGAAGGCACTACCACATCTACAGTGATGAACTTTTTCACTGCCACTATGATATTTTTGGAATTTTCACTTTCACAATTAGCTGACATAGAGAGGCGGCTAGAAAAGTTGTTTATCAGTAATGTTTTGAAATGATTTTTAAAATGACTACAAGTCGGATTGGTGTCTCGTAAACCCTGCTGTCTGATCTGGCCAAAGAAATTTTCAATTGGGTCTTGGTTCAGTCGCCTACACTTCAAGTGATTCACGTTGCCTTGTTCCAACATCTCAAATATGTCTATAATGCCATTTATGGTGACTGTCCAGTTGACCAATGATGGTGGCCTCAATCGTTCTTCGGTACCCTCTGCTGCAATTTGATTATTATTACTAAATCTGAGAGTCAGTTCACGAAGATTGTCAAAACACTCAACGAATTTTGAAGCCAATGAATTCGCCAAAGCAAACTGTGGTGCAAATTCCACAAATTAGGTAATGAAGCTTTGCAATACGGTTTTAATTAGCTTATCATACTACAAATATTTCATCAATAATTTGAATACCCAATCAGTAATTTTATAAATTTGTGAGTAATGGTGAGGTTCATATAGACAACGTAGGAACTTTATATAAAACCGATGTTTGTTCAGTGTTCTGATGAGGATTTCAAGAAATAATGTTGAATTTTAATCACTATTACAATAGAGCATATCAAAATGGGCTTATGTGATGGTAAATCCATTTAGTATTTCATAATCTTCGTGAAATTAGGCCTAAAAGTTACAGTCCAGAATTATTCATTATACACTGGCTATGAAAGGTTTCAACAGTAAAATATTGAATTGATCAAGATAATGTATACGAATCTTTGAATATGTGTTTACACATCAAATGCTACAAATTATTCTGCTCATCTGTTGTTCTTATCATTAAAATTTTACAAAGCATAAAATGTCGTATAGAAACCTTGGTAATACATCTTTCTTAATGTTTGACGAGCTTCAACCCAGAATTCAAAGTGATCTGTGCATCGAGATACAGCAGACCTCAGGGGTTTCCCACTGGATGGATATAGGCTGTACCCATTGACACTATCCATGAGATCATCAAAAAACTTGAGAACTTTTGCTGTTCCTTGTGCAGTTTCGGATAATTTTTCACCTTGTATGCCCACTATTCCTAAAAAGATAAAAATAGTCATGAATCTATATGAATGCCCATGAAAAAATGAAAATGTACCTGCACGTGCCATTAGAGTCATCACAGATGCCACAGTGTGACTGAATACTTGGGTAGCATATGAAACCTTCATCTTCTTTATACAATTTCTATTGACATGGCATTCTGTCAATTTTGGCATCGCCCTTAAGCTTCCAGCAGCATTGTCTATAGCATATAGTCGTACTGAAACACTGTCCTGACAGCCTCTAACTGCGCATTTGCGGTACCGAGACATGGTTTCTGAAAAACAACATTCAGTTACAAAAATATGTTCAAGTTAAATGACTCAAGGAAATAGAAATGTCGCTAAGCTCTAAGAAGTCATGTCAACATAAAATCAAATTTAACTTTTGCAGTTGTAATAATGCAGTAATACTGTAATGATAATTGATGATTTTAGCAAACATATTTAGATAAGCAGGGCCGTTGAGAAATAAGCTCGGGCTCCTATGCCCAAAAATTCTCGAGCCCCCATGCCGAAATATTCTCGGGAAGAAAAGGTTCTTGACATGAGCGAACCTAAGGACGTCTATCCATCAGTTCAGTAAGCGAGCCTCGTGCTCCCCTCAGCGCCGAGCCACGAGCTCCTCTCTTGTCGACGGCCCTGAAGTTTTGTACCCATCATCTTAGCCTATAAAACTAGATTATATCACTATACTTACATGCTGCAATAAACAAGCGCTGTAATCACTCAAATTTAACCACACATAAACAAAAAATAAAAGTATTTAACGGTCCAAACACTCCAAACAACAGCGATACCAGCGGCATCCAACGGATTGATCACCAACTAAAAACACTGTTCCAATTCATCCCATAAGAGTGAATGCCCTGTTTGGCATAGTGGCCACTGTCTGTCAAGTCGTCGGCAAGAAAAACCACGAATTTATAAAATTCGTTTTTCGGTAAGTTTGGTCTACAAATTGTTCAAATGTCTTTTAGAGATGCGAATTAAATGGTTTTAAAGTGAAATTTTTCAAATCTTCAAAACTTCAGAACTTTTTGAAAATTCCAAAATCTTGAAGTTTGAATATTTTGAAAAAGAATAATTTGAAAATCTTCGAAGTTCAAAATTCAGAAAACTTTGAGAGTTTTGCCAATTTGAAAAATTTTACAAAACTTTAAATTTTGGAAGTTTTAAATATTTTGGAAATTTTGAAAATTCGAGAATTTTAAAGAAATGGAAAATTCAAAAGGAAGCGTTATTTCACGTTTAAAATCCAAGAAGTGATTATTAATTAAGTTCACGAACTGATATTAGCTATTTTCGAGTTCTAAATTCAGTACTGTCACAGAACGGTTCTGGAACTGCGTAAAGGGGAAGATGTCTGGAGTGGTTATGAACAGTCCGAGAACTATCAGAATTTTGCCAAAACCCGAACAGCCTGAACCCAGGACTACGGCAACAATTATTATTTTGTTTAGTGCTACATGTGTCCCTGGGTCTTTAGGAAGTTGATTTGCTGGATAAATACCTTACCTAAAATGCTCAACAAACCGTTTGCCAGGAACAGTTTCCTCAAAGAAATTATTATTTTTGTTTATATGTTTGAGGAGTTCTAACAAAAATAAGTTAGGAGTAACTGCTTCAGTTCATCGTCACTGTCAGACGACGATGATGATGACTAATGATCTGCATTGAATCCATTTGTCCACTTTTCTTTTAATTTTAAATAAAAAACACTCCTCAAACAGCAAGTAAACAGCATTTAACTCTTTTCGGCAGTGTGGTACATAAATCGCACCACAAATAAATGGCTGAAAGATACACGGTGGTACATAAAATAAACCGCCTTTGGAATTCATTTGGCTGTTCGGCACAGCGACGTATTTTCTTTACCACATATCCCTACCATATATTTAATGAACAAGAATGCGGATTTTGCCTATACTGCGTAAATATTTCCTGTCTTGACTCGTGAATCGCATTAGATGTTGCATGAAACACGTGTTTTTGATTACAAATATTTAGTGGTGTTTTGATATTGAAAAAGTAAGTATTTCGGGATATTCAGTATACTATTTGTGTTTTATTATGTATATATTTATGCAAAAAACATAAGTGCAATAAAAATTAGGGATTAGGTTTGAAAAAATACATAATTATAATGAGTCCGTAATTTGTACCACTAGGCAAAAAGGGCTTTTTCTTTTTTCAGGCCATGGCTTTCGTCGGCAGTAGTAAGTATCCTCTGGACTTTCAATTGGTAGATATGACCGTAGAAGAGTTGTACCACGAAATAGAAATGATAGATAAAGTTCCAAGTGATCAGGAATCGATTATTTCAGAAGAGTCCGACAACGAAAATGATTTCTGTGAAATACAGCCGAATGATATTATGATCAGTACTGATGATGACTCCAGCGTTGATGACGTCCTTCTTTCAAGGTATTTACAGAAGCCATATAATCAACCACCCAAAGTTTCATGGTCTTCTCAAAATTTACATCTAATAAACCCGGCTCAGCCGTTTACCGAGAATCAAGGTTTATGTCTTCATTTGCTACAAAAGGAAGATCACCTGTTGTCACCTTATCTGTTTATAACTGACGAGCTTATAGAAGACATTGTTTTTCAAACAAACCTGTATGCTGAACAAGAGTTTCAAAAAATACCAAAAAATATAATCCTACAAATACAAAAGAAATGAAGGTTTTCCTTTGTCTTAATATTCTTATGGGAATCAAACCACTACCTAGTTATAGAGACTACTGGAGTGTCGATGAAGACATGCACGATAATTACATTTCCCAGTTTATGCCTGTAAATAGGTTCGGTTGGTTGCTTAGCCACGTTCACCTCAATGACAATAGCGTAATGCCAAAAAAAGGGGATGCAGGATTCGATAAACTATATAAAGTCAGGCCCTTCATAGATAAAATTAAGGAGAATTTAAAAAAATATTATAATTGTACAAAAATCATCGCAATCGATGAATCAATGATAAAATTCAAGGGGCGAAGTACGTTGAAGTAATATATGCCGAAAAAGCCGATAAAACGAGGTTACAAAATTTGGACTTTGGCTGACGCAAATGCATATTTATATGACTTTGATGTTTATACCGGCAAAAGCGATGTCTACGTGGAACATTCCTTAGGGGAAAAGGTGATACTTGGACTTACCGAGAATTTCCAACAAAAAAATCACTTGCTCTTCTTTGATAACTTTTTCACCTCGTATGGGTTATTCAAAGAAAGGGGGATTCATGCATGTGGTACAGTTCAGTCGAACAGAAAACATCTTCCAAAAATGATTGAAGATAAACGTCCATATTTTGACCAACTATCATGATCCAACGGTAACAAGCACTGTCCAACGAAAACAAAAGGATGGTACTAAAACCCATGTTCCTTGTCCTATGGCACTGGTGGACTACAATAGTAACATGAGCTTTGTGGATCGTTTCGACCAAATGAAATCATCTTATGAGCTAGATCGTAAAAGTAAAAAAGGTGGATGAGAATTTTTTTCCTTTTCATTGATTGCTGCGTCGTAAATTCATTCATTCTCTATAGACTGAGCGGTCTAAAAAAATTACCCTTGAAAGATTTTCGCCGAAGAGTTGTTGATGGGTTATTAGGAGAACGATACGTCCAAATTAGTGCAGATCATGAAACACATTCGGAAGCACCTTTCAAGAAAATAAAAAGAGCAGTACCAGACGAAGTAAGTTTCACGTCATCAGATCATCAGCCTGTAAGGTCTACAAGACGAAGATGTGCCAGATGTAGTACCAGGATTCACCAAGTTCGTACTGAATGGTCTTGTACAGTGTGTAAAGTTCCGTTATGCTTAAGCAAATCCAAAGGCTGTTTTCAAGAATATCAGAAAACAAAGTAGATATTGTTAATCTTGATTATAAATTAATAAAATACTTCTGGTATTCTGTTAAATAAACTTTTTATTTTTCATAATTGCCTTCTACCCTTATTTCAACTTGCACGGTGGTACATATATGTCGTACCACCAATTATTTGCTAAACTGACATTTAATTTAAAAAAATATATACAAGAATCTTCAAATTTTCATTAATTATTTTGAATCTGATTGAAATAATTAAAAAAATCCGAACTTTTAGATTCTGTGCAACATGGGACTACAAAATGGAAAAAATCTTGTGCCTAAAAGAGTTAAAGCATAACACGTCAAATAATTTTGATGACATTGGCAGAAGGAATAGACATGCGTGAAAAATCAGTTCAAAAATGGTCCCGGCAGTAAAGGAAGAACTGCTTGAACGATTCTTGAACCATCCTAGAACTGATCCAGTATATAACTCGAATACCAAACTTCAGTTCTAAAACGGTCCGGTAGTAATCCAACAGAAACCCGAACACGTCGGTTTCTTCTGCGCATGCTCCTGATAGTTCTAGAACAGTAATGATAAAAACCCGAAAAAATCTATTGTTTGTCGGTGTTCGTGCGTTTAGAAATCTAGTCAGTCTTAGTACGAATTCTTTGGCATTTGGAAAGTCCGTGTCCCATCGACACGTCCGCCGGGGTGCGGGGTTCGCAGCTAGCAGCCGGTGGTGGCGGCGATGCCGTCCAGTCCATATCCTGAAGGAAACGAGAGTTTACGAGGCGGGTACCGCAGTTAGCCGCCTCCTGACGTTCCCGACGCCGAAGGGATACGAACCGTCAAATCCCTGCGTGATGGACAACTGTCCTACGTGCCTAGCATCTTGCTAGCCAGAATGAGAAATCGATGATACGGCTAGCGAAACAGAACGCCGCATACTGCTAGTGGATACTGGAAGAGGACGGATTTTTCTTTCGGGATGTTCGAAAATTCTATATCCGATGTGCTTCGAAAAACCACGGAAAAGCTTTTAAAGCAAAAAGTACATAAAAAATAACGAAAAAAGTTTTTTCGAGTGTTGCATGGAGATCAAGCTGAGAAGTTATCAGTTATTATAAATATATCAAGTTTATAAAACAAGATGGAACAAAGTAAGCAGAGCAGAAGCACTAAGACTGAGCAGGAAGAACTACGGAAGGTGTTTCGGTTTTTGATTGGTTACTCGTTTGGCAGGGTACCCTATAGAAACTAAGATTAGGTATATTATGGAATAGCGGAGAATAAAAAAAGGCGGAAGCAACTGCAAGACAAGTTTCTGTTCCATTGACTTGCCTTTAGTGATAGAACGGCAACAAAGCTGATAAATTAATAATAATAATATTCATTTACTCAAATAAGTACAAATAATTCTCATCCGGCTTTTACTTGGATACTAACGAATCAAAGTAAACACATACGTTTCATTAAAAAAAATACTTTTTCACTAAGATATATTATTTCTATTTACTTTTCGTAAAGTTACCGCAAGCCTGTTTTCAACAGAGATAGGATTCTGGAAGTCTGAGTGCAGTGTTAACAGGCATTATGTATCTTTTCCACTATGTTATCCAACGTATGTATCCTAGTGCCTTGATAAAACGGAGTTTCATCGTCTTCAATTGCAGATACAGATTATGGAACTCGCCGTCAAGTATCCTGGTCTTGTGTAAATAACATAAGAGTAGTAATATTTATTTTACAGAGGACAAATAAATGAAGAGCCCACGAAAAGGTTGCCCTTGTACGCGGGTAAACATTTTGTTTTAAATTTACAAGGGTGTTCGTTTAAAAACCTCCCTCCACAGATTTCTCGAAAACCACTGATTGAAAGAAAAAACGCCAAGACACGTCAAAATATTTGTCAAGAGGGACAATTTTTTCACCAAAAACTACTTCACCCCTTTTCATACTCAGCCCTCCAGGGTCATTCCCTTAAAAATTTTAAATGACAAGAGGTATCGAGTGAT